TAAAGTGTTTTTTTTCTTTTCTTTTGCGCACAAAGTATTCTCGTAGCTTCGTAAAATTACGGTTGAACCACTGATGTCACATGGAATATTTTACAGATCTCCTTGCTACGTTTCTGGACTTGGGAACATTTCAGTTGCGTTGCTGTCTATGCAGGGTCAGACAGCTCTCCGATTCCATCACAAATATCTTAATTTGTGTTCCGAAGATGAACAAAGGTCTTACGGGTTTGAAACGACATGAGGGTGAGTAATTAATGACAGAATTTTAATTTTTGGGTGAACTAACCCTTTAACATGGTGCTTCAATATAACTGAATTTTTTGATTGTACTGAACTTAATGTATATTACCGTTTTTTTATATCTACAATTCAGATGTCTTTTTTCCGGTATGTCTTGTATGGCCATCCTGTTTGTTACTTAGGACATTTGAGATCAATTTTAAATTGTAATGTTCAACTGTAAAATTGTAAAAAAAAAAAAAAAATGAAATTAATGCAATTAAAATGAAATGATTTTAAATGAAACTGTTCATGGTATTTTATTTGATCTATCTATCTTAAAATGAATGTTTCTTTTGGAAAGGGTAATTCTCTCATTAATTCTTATTGATTTATTATTATTATATTGATTAGGCCTTGTATGGTTTTATTAGGAGATTAATCTGACTGAAGAGTATATATATTTCCTTTTTCAACTCTGCTGATAAAGCCACTTAAGTTTCATCAGTGTTCTCAAAGAGTGCTACCAGTAGGTATTTCTTCAAGGTTACAGGTCTTTGCAGGTATTTTCTGCAGTGTCTGAATTGGCCTAATTGCTGCAAAGACTACATAAATGACGAGCCATAGGAGAGAGAAGGGAACATTAAAATAATCTGTATATCATCTACTCGCAAACACATACAAATGCATAAGCATTTGACGTGTTCCACCCACAATGCATCTTTATCGTAAGCACGATATCTTTATCTTTTATCAATCACTGCAGCTCATTCAGATTTAACCCGTCACTAAGCCTTTTTTTTTTGTTTCCTCACTTCTTTTCATCTTATTCTGGTTGTTTGCACTGTCTTGCATGCATATTTAAAATGTGCACTTTATTTTTCTGCTTTCCTAATAGCTTACAGCTAATATTTTTGATGTTTTTTCCTGCTCTTCTTTTTGTTTTAGCCATCTTTTCCCAAACTATTTATCTGTCTACATTCCTTGTTTGTTCATTCATTTTTATTCATGCCATGTTTTCACCCAGCTGCCTCTGTTACAGTACTTCTGGTTCTTCCTCATCCCTCAATCCTTCTTTCAACCCTTTGTCCACTTCCTTTTTGTTTCTTATCGCCTGTTCATCCCCTTTCCCCATTCTTGACCCATTTTCTCTTCTCTCAACAGTGAGCAGAGGGTTAACTCTGAAGCCAAGTGGAACAGCTTTTTTCATAAGGAGGACACAGGCAACAAGGCAGTGGATATTGAGGCGGTGAAAGGCTGAACCTTTGAGGCACTGCGGAAAACACTGTAGGACCCAAAAACCTTGCTGTATCACCATGACTTCCTTTGCGCAGATGTAACAATTCATAAACCCAGGCTCCAGTTTACTGCGAAAGCAGGTGACGAAAGACCTCAACATTCAATTCTTGCTGTTGACTCAGATCTGGTGACCCAAGGTTTTGCTTCTTTTGAAGACACTGCCTTGCTCACTGGCAAATGTTACAGGCGGGTTTGTGCCACAAAAGAGATGTACAGTAGCATCCTCCATTTTATCCGGCTTCAGTGTGAGACAGGCGCTAGCCCGCTTGATTCATCTGTGCTTTCTTCTCTTTTTGAATTATTCAGTAATCCTTTCCTACACCCAACCATCCTTTCTCCCTCCCTCCCACCTTCCTGTACACGTAATGTTACTTAACATTTACAGTTTAAAATGGCTAAATTAACCTTTCCATCTGTTCCCTGGTGGTAACTCCAACCATATCTCTCCATCCCCGTTTTATGCTCGTTCTGTCAGATGAAAATGAAATCTTTAAAACTGAGCCATTAAAAGATGGTCCTTGATAATTGCTACGCGATTATATTTTGAAATGAATCAATTATTAAAGTCGTATTCTTTTATTTAAGAGGTCCAATCATTTAAGTATTTTCTGCCAGAAGGCTTTATTCAGTGTCCATTTGCCTCTCTGTTTTTTTGTCTAATTTTAAGTTCGCAGTGCTACAGTTCAACATTCAGTTTCAACAAGCTCTCCAGAATATTATGTGATGTTTCTAACTCTGAAATGTAAATGTACTAAAGGTTATAACATCATCTCTAAATGAAGAACCAGTGACCTCCCTTAGAGAGCCGTGTATATGGCGCTATTTAGCAGCCTGAAAGCTTGTTGTCATATCCACAGAGGGTGGAAATGGATGGATAATAGATTAGGACAGTGGAAAGGAGGAGGCACTTTCACCCCTTTAGATTTGAAACAGGCAAAGCGGACAAACTGCCATACAGTATTAGTGTTTGTAGAGATTGAAATCGATCCAGAAGTGAATGATGAATTCTTTCCTTAACTGGACATTCAAGTTCCACAATGTCTCAGTGCTAATTTAGCAGACAATTGTATATTGAATTACTTGCCCTATGACATTAAGCTATTTGTAAGCTGTCTCAATCAGTGTCTTTTGCCAGTGGTTTTGAGTGTGTCTGCTGGAGATAGAATTATCAAACAGTTAGCTTTAATGTAATATGTAAACACAATTATATTAACCAAAGCCTTTTTGAATGTGGTTTGGAAGTGATTTAAGTGTTTGGATGTGACAGACTAAGATGTTCGAGTCAGGCACATCTGGTGTAAAACAGCTATACTTAATTCTCAGAAACAGTTGTGTGATGAAGGAAAAGAGAGACAAGGAATAGCTATGAATCTCAAAGAAGAAGATGGGTTGAAGGAATTTTTGCTAGTAGCGACTTAATGGATGAGTAAGGAAAGATGTATGAGGGAGTTTCAGAGACACAGCACCTAGTGCTATAAAGCAAAGTAAATGGTAGAAGTGATGAAAGCTTGATAACGACAGTGGATGAAAATAGTGAGGGATGGAAGTGAGGAATTTGTAGATGGAAGTTAAAAGCCAGACTGATTTAATGTTGAAGGAAGAAAATATTTGCCCAAGTAGCAGGAGACATGAAAGGAAGTGATGGAGCCATAAAGGCAAGACTTTGCAGTGGAGAAATGTTTTTGTTGCGACAATAGCAGGTGCAGAAATGACTATCATATGTTCACTATTGCACTACTGTACCACAAAAATCTTAGAGCAGCATTGTCACTGATTATTGTTAAGGTATTGGTCTGGTTTGATTTGTTGTGAATTGTCACCAGTTTTTTTTATATATAATATATTGCACATTTGCTCTCTGACTTGAGTGAAACGACTTTATGCTAGGGCCAAAGTGAAACTCTTACATTTGATTTTTTTGATGCATCGTATCTCACATGCTATAAATTAGATCTCTAATGCACACATAATCATATACCTTCACACATGTGACAAGACAAACTCCATACTGATTTAACTGAACACAAGCTGAACATGGTGCCAGACAGTCACACGGACATGTAAACCTGGTATTGACGTCAGGATTAGACAAAACTCATAACTGAGTTGGACTTGGAGTTGAATTAACTTGAATTAACGGAACTGAATTGCCATGAAGCTGAATTTCAATTCAGATAAATTCATGACCTACTGGAAAATTAAACATTCTTCCACCCTAATCTATCTGTAGAATTTTTAGAACCTTTGATTTCTTTTTCTTGTTTCATTGTTTTTGAGGTTATAATAAATTAATTAATAACATTTATGTAATTTATTTTAATTTATTTCTCTTTAATAGAAGAGCACCAGCACCTTTTTTTAAGTAGCCCCTCTATTAAGATTTTTAATATTAAAAATCTATATGTAAAATTAAATAAAATAAAAGTAAAAAAATTTTTTTTTATATATATATATATTATCAACATGCAGTGCACTTAGTATGTATTCAGCTGATGTACCAAATAATGTATGTATTCAGAGACCCTTTCCTTTGAAATCTGTTCACAAGTGGTCACAGAAGATTTGAGATGTTGCTACCAGGGTCCCTGATTGATTCTGCTACATTGTCATGTGTAGGGGTCTGTTAAATAGCAAGCGAGATAAAGGTAAAGGTACGAAAGCTGTCACTGGGCCGGTACCTTTTCAAAAGGTACACCTTTGTACCTAAAGGGTCCATATTGGTACCTAAAAGATACAAATGTGTACTCTGCCTCAGTGACATCTTTTGTACCCTTTTTCCTGAGCGAGTACTTATTTTGGCAAAGGCCAAAACCACTTTTTACTTCTGTCTTTGCTGTTTCCTACCTCTCTACATTCCTCTGTCCTAATAAGCACTCACTGAACCTTTCAATCCCATCTATAATATCTATAATTAATTACATTTACAACCCCTCTTACTTTCTTTCCCCTCCATTTTTCTCCCTCTTTCCTTCCCCAAGCTAATAAGTGGTTCACTCCACCTCTTACAGATGTATTTTCTGTCCTCAATTCATGTTTTAACACAGTTGGCATTTGCTGCAGAGCCAACATTTCTTCAGCGGACCGCATCTAAAGGAGTGCTCGCTCATGAAACCGCTATTACCGCATCTTCCTCAGTAGTCTTCGCCCCATGCTGCGAATTGCTTTCTTTTGTTTCCTTGTAATGAATTTAGCCTGAGTTCACTTTATTGCTTTGTGCAGAATGTGTAGCCTGATGAATTTTTCATTTCATCTCTCTCCTTCTCTCATGCCATCCTCAGAAACCGCCATAGTCTAAGACATCTCCTCCTCGTCCTCAGCCAAAAGTCTAGAACTCCTCACAACATAAAAGAGAGAAGGAGAGCGGGAAGGAGGGGTCTGCCTTGTATCTGGGTTCTGATGGAGAAGACGGTGGAGGAGAGGGGGAGGTGCAAAAGCGATTGAGAGAGAGAAGAGAGAGAGAGAGAGAGAGAGAGAGAGAGAGAGAGAGAAAGGCAGGTATGGAGGGAGGGAAACAAGAGGATGAGAGAGGAACGAAGCCAACCAACCAGCTGAAAGAGAACGAGCGATCGGGGCTGTTTGAACGTGGCAGGGAGAAAAGGAGGGAGGAGGGAAAGAGAGAGTGTGAGATCGTTTGTCAGAACCGAGGAAATAGAAGTGTTACTATTGCACGGCAACTGGAACGGTGTCTGCACGCTGAGGATATGCATTGGGTCCCAGCGCTCACCGGCTCGCAGGACACGCTCTAAAATGTAATTTCCAAAGGCCTAATTGTTGCCGCGGTGATTTATTTTCCTCCATTTCATTTTTCTTTCTTTTTTTTTTTGTTTTATCTGCCTTCTCTCTCTCTCCTCTCCTTCTCTTTTTGTCGTTGTTGTATTTTTTTTCCCCCGTTTTTTTTTTTTTTACCAGCTGCTGGATTTTCCCCTTCTTTTATAACTGCTGTCATTCTCTCCATTTACAAAGGAGGGATCTACAAATAGAGGCAACCACAGCAAGACAGTAAGTGGGGCTTCTTTCTCCTTACGCCTGTGCCAGGGGGGTGCATGGAATGGGAGGCTGTGAAAATGTGCGGAGGATGAGCGATGAATGGATCCCAAAAGGGCTTATGAGTGTAGATGGTGGCTGGTGGTTTGCCATTTAAAGTTGAGCCATTCAGATCTGGAAATATGAGCTATTGGGAAACAGAGGCGACCCGTGCATGCGCTGTGTCTGTTGTACAGAGTGAATGATGTGAGGTGATCAGACTGGGCTGGTGGTGCTTATTATCTGTAGTTTGGCTGCAGCAGCGTGAGAATCTGATCTTCCTTTAAAGAGACAGAGGTTCGCTTAAAACAGGAGGTGCACAGAAAGAATAGGTGAATACTGCATCAGCAGGGAGTAAGTTTTTCTGGATATATGGCATTGCTGTGAAAGAAAGAGCTTGGCACAGAAAGATCATCATAATGACAAGTAAATGATACAAATCAGCAGAGTGTAATGTTTTTTTCTCCTCTGTATTTTAAAGGGAGAAGCCTGATATGCAGTATCCTGTCACTCCCTGAAACACACCCACCCACATACATTGGCATGCATGCAGACTTACTCACTGAGCAGTGCTAACGGTCTGATCTGCAAGCGTGGCAGCTCTCGTATGATTGCATCTCTTAAATGCCACATCAGTTTTCTTTCCAGTTCACTGCCTTTTGTCTTTCTTTCTCGTAAGCATATGCAGTGAATGACAGAATTGGCTGTTAAAGGGATAGTTCACCCAAAATGAAAATTCTGTCATCAGTTATTCACTCTCATGTCATTTCAAATTTTTATGACTGTCTTTATTCTGTGGAGCACAAAGGGTGGAATATTGAATATTATACCGGTCACTCTTTGCATGCAATTACAGTGAACTGAAGATTCAAAAAGTACCACTGAATGTGGTCCATACGACTAGTGCACTCTATTCCAAGTCTTATGAACCTAGGGCTGGACGATATGGCCAAAATTTATATCACGATATATTTCTTAATTTCGGTCGATACGATATAATTCCGATATCGATATGAACACTATTAAAAAAGCCTCATAAAAACGGCCAAGAACGGCCACAACAGATGTCTGTACCTACAAACTTATGAAAAATTAATTTGCCAACTCTATGAAACCTACTCCTATAAAACTATATAATATTTTTGGAAAAAAATGGCGCAAATAAATAAATGTTCACCTTTTATTGGTATTTAGCCTTCATACAAACAAGACATGTGAAATCACTGTCAAATAAATCTCAGATTCTCCTTATTAATATTAATATTTTTTACTTCAAACTATAGGCTAACATACCAGTCCGAGACGACTCGTTCTTCCCGAGTCACATTAAAGATTCGTTCAAAACGAACGATTCGTTCAAGAACGACCCAACATTAGGCGCTGTGAGAGCGGTGGAACTAACGGTTTCTCCAGTAATGGCTGTAAACAAAGCAGCTCCGCTCATGAACGCTACTTTATCAGATAAAAATGCCATCTAAACTATTCTGAAGATAGTCGGTTCCCTTCAGAGATACATTCATATAAAACACCCGCGCCGCGTTTTGATTTTGAAACGTGCAGTGCTCATGTTTATTCAACGAAGTCAAACGCCACAAATAAATCAATGTATGGGAAACACTGGTAATGTATATCGAAATATCGGAAATGTGTTTAAAAATCACATCACCGTTATTGAAAAAAAGTATATCGCGATACATATTGATATTGAATTATTGTCCAGCCCTATATGAACCCATGCAAAAGCTTTGTTAGTACAGACCAAAATATAGGTTATTATTTAATGATAATCTTTGTGCACAAATGTTTTGTGAAGTGCATCAACCGATGCATTCAAAAAGATCTGACTTGATGTGATCACAAATCCACAAACACGCCAAGGAGAGCTAGAGCAAATGTCAATATTTTTAGTGAATAACAGCTTAAGTTCTTTTATCTTTTTGTCACACAGATCTATTGTATAACGTCAGATGATGCAGAATATTGCACCTCTGACAGTCATATGGACCCCTTTTATGATGTTTTTTTGTGTTCTTTTTAAAGCTTAAAAGCTTCAGTATCCATTAAGTGTATTTCTATGTGGAACTGAACATAGAAACATAGTCTTAAAAATTTCTCCTTTTGCTTTCCATAGAAGCAAGTCGCACCCAAACAGATAAACAAAAAACAAACTGATTTTTTATTATTATTATATTACGTTTTCTAGTACATGCCATTTATCCCAGATTAATATTTATTATAAAAAGTTGTGAATATAAGTAGGCTAGGTACTTTTCAGGTGATTCCCATAATCACACTATTCGCTACAGATTCTTCTCCGCCCACAGACACACTGCTGCTCAGACAGCCCACTGAATGCTCACCTCACAGGCTAGAAGTGGCACACAAGTGAACCGACAAGCAAACATTCTCTCCTCTGCACAGATGTGAAGAGATCTTGAGTCTGCATGTGCTGCTTCACAGGGAGTGTGTGTTGATTTGGTTTGGGACTATCCCCTGCCATTATCTGCTGAATCTATTATTAGAAGCCTTTGTTTTTCGCGTATATCCTCCTCTGATACATTGTCTGTGCTCAGAAGAGGGAAATTGTTGCAGGTCTTTGCTGCGGTCACCCATAATTACATGATATATGTATTTCTAGCCAGTTATTGAGAGAGAGAGAGAGAAACAACATGGGGGAGGGAAAAATAAACAATGAAGCCAAAGAGAAGTGAAGATCTGTGGATAATTACCTCTATACCAGCTGTTAAAAATTAAGACAATATTTGGAAAAATTGCTAAATAAATTAATATTTCCCAGTAAAATAATAAAATTTTCTTAAAACTAATAAGACTTGTTTTCAGAGGATGTGTTTACTTGTTTTTATTAAATCACTACATTTGGTTATTATGCTTAAAACTCAAAATAACAATTTTCCAATAACGAGCAAACTGATTAAGAAAATGTTTTTTGCAGTAGAAAAAAATGGAGGGAAAAATATATAGAGTTGTAAAGACTAAAAGGGAGTTTATTTCTTCACAAACAAAATGTTGTTAGATTTATACATAAAAATACATAAATGAATTAAAATAAAAAAATATTTGCCAATAATAGGATAAGAGAAGCAAAAACTTCCAAATATGTTTTCCTGGCACAGATATTAGGGCAGAATGGTGTTGCCAACATTGCATGTAATTTCTTCCTCAGTCACACGCTGTCAAAACTGTCACCCGCTCTCTTTTCTCACACTCTCTGCCTTCCCTTTAAACACACACATACACACAGAGTCTTTCCGGTGTAGTGTGAGTTGTTCGCTTCGGGGGGATATGAGATAGGATGACAGAGTGGATAATCAGACAAAGGCACACAAAGTGAGTTAAGAATTAGCCACATTGAACAGGCCATTGATAAATTGGGAAACTAGAACGCCACTGACACCCTTCCATTCAATGCTCTGGAAAACCCGGCTTCTCCTCTCATTTGCATTGCCCCATGCATATCATGCATAAACATAGATGTGTCCAGAGCAGGGGTGTGCAAAACCACATATTTATTGTGATATTATATACTTAGTCATGTGATGAATCCTCAGCAGTCATTATTCCAGTCTTCAGTGTCACATGATCCTTCAGAAATAATTATAATTTGCTGCTCAAGAAATTAATATCAGTCTTGAAAACAGAAGTGCTGCTTAAAGGGATAGTTCACCCAAAAATGAAAATTCATTTGAAAACTCACCCTCATGTCGTTCCAAACCCGTAAGACCTTCGTTCATCTTCGAAACACAAATTAAGATATTTTTGATGAAGTCCCGAGACATCTGTGACATCAGTGGTTCAACCGAAAATGTATGAAGCTATGAGAATACTTTTTGTGCGCAAAGAAAACCAAAAATAACGACTTTCAACAATTCTTCTTCCCCGAGTTACCATCTACCGCCATTATACCGTACTCTATTAAGAGTACCAAGACGCATACATGTGCTGCTGCTGACGTAGAACACGGATGCGCTGCGCCTTGTTTATGAACAGAGGAAAGCACGTGCATGTGCCATGGTACTCTCCATAATAGCGGTAGATGGTAACTTGGGGAAGAGGAATTGTTAAATAAAGTTATTTTTGTTTTTCCACACAAAAAGTATTCTCATAGCTTCATAAAATTCCGGTTGAACCACTGATGTTACATGGAATATTTTAACAATGTCCTTACTACCTTCCTGGGCCTTGAACGTGGTAGGACCCTTGCAGTCTATGGAGGGTCAGAAAGCTCTCGGATTTTATAAAAAATATTGTAATTTGTGTTCTGAAGATGAACAAAGGTCTTACGGGTTTGGAACGACATGAGGGTGAGTAATGAATTTTCGTTTTTGGGTGAACTATCCCTTTAATATTTTTATGGAAACCATTATACTTTTTCAGGATTCTTTGATGAATAGAAGTTTAAAAAGCATTTATTTGATAAAAAAAATAATTTGTAACATTGTAAAATTCTTTACTGTCACTTTTCATCAATTTAATGCATCCATGCTGAAGAGAAGGACAACTAGTACTGCAGGTATGTGAGAGTAACATCAACCATCCTGACCCATCCCTAGTATTTCTTTCCAGTCATTTCATATTTGTGTTTATTGCCTCTTCCACGTCTTCGTTTAGAGACGTGCTGGTATGTGCGAGTACCGCCGCTCTCTTTGTAGTTCAAACACTTCTCTCTCATTATGCTTAGAAGGAGGATCTCCTGCAACGCATCCTCACACTTGTAACAGTAAATGAGGAGAAATGTTCTCATCTCAAAATAGTAACAGCTCACACCATTTCAGCAGGCTTAGATAAATGATCACACACTCACAACTCAAATCTACTGCCGATGTGGACAACCTGACGACTATACCACACAGAGCAATTGTGATCAATGTAATCTGAAGTTCTTCTCACATTGTCCTTTGAAATGAGTAGATACAAATGTGGTATTCAACAAACATTTCCATCCTGAACGTTTTCTA